ATATATATATATATATATATATATATATATATATATAGGTTTAATGGATAGGATTGTTCGGACAAGCTTACACAATTATATGCACTTCAACTAATTAATTCTTCAATCTGGTCAAAGACAAATTATTCACGTCAAGATTAAAATATTCATGAGATATCTGCATTTCTCATGGCTTAACCCTAAAAATTATCAAAATTTAAATTCAAAACATCTGAGTTTACCCATCTTCCTTATTACTACTCGAGAAATCCTTTAGAGTTAAACTCGTATGTATTTAAAGGATATGGTATGGTGACCTATTTCTTGAGTCAGATCGGGGAAAAACAAATATTAAAAGGTATTTTGATGCCAACAAATATTAGGGAGGAGGAGGACTGCCTCAAAGCCCAAAAGGGTAATTTTGTACATAACGCCAGGCTTGCTTTCTTGTCTCTCAATCAACACCACCACATCAAGCCAGAAACAATGGAATATTTCAAAAAGCAGAAACAGAAACCTCACCCAACTTCTTCCATACGTAAAATATTAACAAGAAAGACCGAATTTCTATGCACGCGTAAACCCTGTTTACACCGTACCTACCAATGGAATGAGCTGGATTTTTTTATTACAAAATTGTTCATTTTTGGATTAATTATTTTTGGGTTAATTGCAAATTATACTTCAAGATTATTCAAAGTTTAATTTACACTCTCAAAAATTAAAAATCTCAATTTACACCCTCAAAGATAGAAATTTATATCAATGTGCACCAAAAATTAACTGTCGTCAATTTGATGCCTAAAACTAAATTGATAAATTAATCATTTGGACCGCTTCACAAAATAAAAAGTAATATTAATTTATAATTTCTTATTAAGATAAAATCCTAATAAAAATACTTTCAATCTAAAATGTCCCCTCTAATTGGGCTTTCAAATAGTTATGTTTTAATTGATATATTACATTGCATATAAAAAATATTATATAAATACTTACATTCTATTGAACGTTCAAATGATAAACTTAATTTCGAACTTGAGAATATATCGGACCCACAAAATAAAGGGTAATCTGAAATTATCATTTTTTATTAGGATAAAATCATATTTTTTAACGATTATATTAATAGATATCAGCGAAAAATAATTATGCGTTACACATGCACAAACGTCATGAGATGTAGGAGTAATATTCTAAATGTGAAAGGGTCAAAATGATCAAGTGACAAGCATGAGAGGATTTAGATATAATTTATCAATTTAATTTTAGGCAACAAACTAACGGCGGTTAGTTTTAGGTGCACATTGATACAAATTTTTATTTTTGAGGGTATAAATTAAGATTTTTGATCTTTGGGGGTACACATTGATATAAAGTTATATTTTTTAGGGTATAAATTAAAATTTTTGATTTTTGAGAGTGTAAATTGAGATTTAAACAATCTTTTGAAGTGTAATTTATAATTAACCCATTATTTTGTGGAGTACGAATATTAATCATTGTAATTCAAACAAATTTAAAAAATATTTGTTAAAAAACAATGATAACTGATAATAATAGAATGTGAGAAATTTGAACACGAGACATCTGCCTTAACAGAGACTAAGCGCAGCCACCGAAGCACATTCTTAAAGGTTGAATGAGTTGGGGTTAACTATAGTTTATCAGCTTCCTCGTTGACTTGGTTTATTTTCCATGTTTTCTTGAAGCAACCACATCAAATAGTGGTACCCTCTTGGAATTACAGAGAGACACCACTTGCCCAATGTGGCTGGAGCCAACAGGGATCCATAAAATTTAAGTCATGGATGCTAAGTTCAAGTGGAGGACAAAATTCTCTTCTTTTTTTCTTTTTTTTTTTAAATCATGTTATTATTATTATTATTTTTTTGGGGGGAGGGATAGGGGAGAGGGGAGGAAAACTTGAACCTTTAACCTCAAAAAAACAAAGTCTTCACAAGATAAGGAATATCATTAGACCAAATGACCGTTGGTTAGGACAAAATTCTCTTGTTAGGATTTCACATAGCCTATTTCGAGTGTCAAATGTCAATCAAATAGAATCGTACTATTTCAAGTTCATACTATATTCAAATTACTTGAGATGAATTTACCTTGTAAACGTCTGATTATTTATGTTAACCTGATTCAATCATTGTTTGTAGTTATCCATTTTCACATTGAGCTCCCCGGTTGATTGCCTGATTGGGTTCAGATTTTTAAGCATATCCTACATTAAATAATGCCAACCTTTTTGGAAAAGGAGAGTTAGACCACAACTCAATGTGGGTGGAGTCAGCAGGGTGTTCAGACAGTCGTGGGAACATAGATCAAGTGAAGGACACATAATGCTCATGTTAGGATTCCACAGAGTCAATCTAGTTCAATTATGTTATCAAGGTGTCAAACAGGTCTAAGTCATTTTTTGCCATGTTTGATTCGTGTCATATTATTTAACTAGTTATTATTTGTGTTTGAAGGTATAAAATAATTAAAAAAATGATAAACGATAAATATATTTGTATTCACACTCAAAATCAAATCACAATTATAAAAGAGAGAGAAAAATATTTAAACACCAGTTATAATGAGGGTAAACGATGGCAGTGATATTGGTGGAAAACTGTGATGGTTGTAGTAGGTGATAACGATCGTGATGATGGTGACAGTTATGGGTGGCAACAGTGACAGTGGTGGTGGATTTTGAGTGACGATGATGATAGTGACAACCATGGGGTGATGGCAGTAGTGGTGGTGGGACAACGACAATGATGGATTGTGCTGGCAGGTGACGACAAGTGGTTTTGGGCGACAGTGTGATGGGTGGTGATTATTGGTGATGATAGGCGTGGTAGAGGTGGATGACAGTGGCTGATGTTGATAATGGGTAACGATGGGTGGCTGTGAGTTATGGTAGTGGGTGGAGATGGGCAACGATGGTGGTGGTGGGGTGCTGACGATGGGCGATGATGATAGTGAGATGATGATTGTAATATTAATAAATATTAGAATGAACTGACGATAGTGGTGAGTGG